TTGTCGCCACGCGTTGCAGCGCGTTGCAGGTTGGGATGTGCTGATACTGTCTGTGAGGATTTGGCTGCTAGCCCTACTGCTGACAGTCTGGGTGACGGCTTAATTCTGATGAGCGTGTACTGAGACAAGGTCAGTATTTGTTGGACTTCCGACTTGTCACCACGCGTTGCAGGTTGGGATGTGCTGATACTGTCTGTGAGGATTTGGCTGCTAGCCCTACTGCTGACAGTCTGGGTGACGGCTTAATTCTGATGAGCGTGTACTGAGACAAGGTCAGTATTTGTTGGACTTCCGACTTGTCGCCACGCGTTGCAGGTTGGGATGTGCTGATACTGTCTGTGAGGATTTGGCTGCTAGCCCTACTGCTGACAGTCTGGGTGACGGCTTAATTCTGATGAGCGTGTACTGAGACAAGGTCAGTATTTGTTGGACTTCCGACTTGTCGCCACGCCTTGCAGGTTGGGATGTGCTGATACTGTCTGTGAGGATTTGGCTGCTAGCCCTACTGCTGACAGTCTGGGTGACGGCTTAATTCTGATGAGCGTGTACTGAGACAAGGTCAGTATTTGTTGGACTTTGGTGATTTGCCGCTACACATGCGGATTGCTTGTCTGTGAGGATTTGGCTGCTAGCCATACTGCTGACTGTCTGGGTGACGGCTTAATTCTGATGAGCGTGTACTGAGACAAGGTCAGCATTTGTACGTGGAGAAGCATTGCAGAACGTCGATATGATGATCCTGTCTGTGAGGATTTGGCCCTTAGCCATATTGCTGACTGTTTGGGTGAAAGCTTACTTCTGCTGGGCGTGTAGTGAGAGACAAGTTCATATTTCTCGGACGCAGAAGTTGCCTATATACCATGCATGGAGCAATACATTCATTCTGTCCAAGAGAGCCAAATGCATACAAGCTGGAAGTGTCATGAAGTGTGTTGATCCGTGGCGTCCAGCTCATCAGCACGTCTTCCATTGGCCGCTTTCAACTGCTCGCTCTCTGTGCATGACGTGCGGTAGTGCAGCATTCGCGGCAGTACGTCTGAACATCTGCTACTCGTAGTTCCTGAAGCGGGCATTTCTCTTGTCCGGCGCATTCTGGCAGGCTGCGGTGCTGCAGCTGTACAGGCAAGGCCTTGGTGCCTGGGAGGAGCTGAAGGCCACGAGCCGCCGCTATTCATCTGCTGACCCGACAGCAAGTACACAGAAGAAATCCCCTGAAACCGGAACCCTGCCCTCGAATTCAAGCCGCCCGCCGGTGCTAGAGGCTGCAACGTGTGCATCCCAACATGTCCGAGTCTGTGCCGAAGTGCATGGCAGTTCCCAAGCGCCCTCAGGCCTACCACAACAGCCCCAAGCAAAACCCACCGAAGAACACACTCAAACCCTAAACGCCCGTAAACCCGTAGTAGCCCTGGCTAGTAACCTTAAGCATCCCTCGGACCTGTGAAGAGCAGGCGAAGACGCTCCTTGCCGTTGAAGGTCAACTCGGCGGGCTGCAGCAGGCAGTTGCTCGGGAAGCCTTGTGGAGCATGCAACATAGGGGTCTGCAGAATTAGAAAGTATTGGTAGGACAATCCCGGCAGCCCTTCCTAGTGACCAGTGACCAGTGCCCATGTAACCGCACTATTCCATGTTGTTGCTGGGTAGCAAACAGATCCCACGTCTTGTCCCTCGCGCTAAACCTAAGAACACTCAACAACGCTATGGTTATTGGCCATGAGAATGATGTTCGGCATATTGAAGCTTAAATTTATGTCAAAGCATTGTTCAGTGGTAGCTTGATTCCATTTCAGTATTTCAGTAGTATACACAACGACTCTAGAGTACCTGGGATGTGCTGTAGTGTTGCCGCCATTGATGCAGAGGCAAGCAATCCATCAAGCAAGCAAGCAGGCAAGCAAGCGAGCGAACATGCAATCAATCAATCAGTCAATCAATCAAGCAAGCAGTCAATCAATCAGTCAGGCAATCATATAATCAGTCATCAACTCCTGCAGCAACCAATCAGTCATCCGTTCAGTGTGTGTGTACTATACTATATACTATATGATATATACTATATACTAGATATTGGACACTATATACTATATATGATCCCCGTGTGGAAAAAAGCTTGCCCCACTCCCCGCTGTGGTTTGGGTTTCCTGCGTGGGTCTGCTTGGCGTGTGAGCCCTCGTGTGGAAAAAGCTTGCACGGTTCGGCTTGGGGAGCGGGGGGGGGGGGGATGATACCCTTGGGGGGGGGGGGGGTCGGTGAACCGAGAACCGGGATCATATATGAGATACTAGATACGAGAGACTTTAAACTAGATGCCATACGCCCATACGCTATACACTATACACTACTATATCTTTTCAAGCATAATACACTGTACTGCGTTATTCCAGATCGAACAATATATATTCTGTTATGTTACATTCTATTCCATTCTTTTCTGCTCTGTTGTTTTGCATTATACTATGCTGTGCGATCTGATATCAAATCTTTACATTCTATGTCTGTAGAATATCATAGGCAGTAGGAGTGCAATGTACGTGACTGTGTGGGATGGGGTTTGACAAACTGAGAAAAAAGATTTCACGCCTGGCCCATGTCTCAGGCGAAGGTTATGGAAGTTGGCCTCTGGCTTGCCGGCTTCGGTGGAATCAGCATCGTAGCTTCAGCAGTCCTCTGACTTCCCTCCACCGACGTCGGATCTAAACCCGAAGCTTTCCCGAAACCCTATACCCGCCACCCTAACCCTGCACCCTCAACCTGGACCATAAACCTCCGAAACCAACTAAACCCTGAACACGAAACACCCTGCCAGAGCCCCGATGTGCAACGGTCCCGAAACCTTGCGGTGGGCAAGTTTCACTCCTTTGACGGCTCGGCGCTGGGCCCACACGTTCGGAAGGCAAAGCGGCGCAGGGTTTAGGGTTTAGGGTATAGTAGTACGAGGTAGTGGCAGAAGTAGGATTAGTACAGCCGAGGGTGACAGCGATAGCATGAGGGAGAGCGCTGGTGACAACAATGCTGCCAGCACATTCGCGCACTGGGCACTGGCCGCGTGCCGTTTTGCCCAAACTTTCATTTGAGATCTATAATTCGATACTGAGTTCATCCTGTGTTCCATGATCAGTGTCTTGGCAGCATCCGGGTGTCTTCGGCAGTGGGTCTTGGATGATGTCGGTCACGGTGATCATGCTGCCGCGACAGCTATGACTACTATCATCGTTATCGTGGCAGGTAGTGACTAATAGTAGCAGCCAGCCCTCAGCCTATCCGGTTAAGGACCATTCTCGGAAGTCTCGCCCAGCTTAGCCTCTCATTCGGAAAAGGTGCCTTCTTGAAGCGAGGTGCCTACACAACCTGACGGAAGCTCCGTGAGAACGAGCAGACCACCACGTGAAGGAGCCGTCAGATATAGATGGTACGGTTCTTTGCCGGAAAAGTGGACTTCAGGCATCGGAGTCCTCATAAACCCAGCGGCATCACTGCGTTGTTGACGCTGTGGAGGTAAGAATGTACAAGACTGCATGCAGCCTTGCCGCTGTGGCTCCGGTGTCATGCATTTGGACCCGGTCTCTTCGTTGAACTGGTAGAAGAATCGTCCAAACTTGAGTCACTTCGATCGAGAAGTTGATTGGCCTTGCGGATCACTGGGAAGTCTGGTTCTCGTTTGTTGCAGTACATGGGTGTGCAATCAGAGGTTGTCAAAACGTCCGATATGTAGGCTGGACTGTCTCGCAGGATGCGCGGACTCCGATGTTGTATCCTCGCGTGGACTGCTGCGATAGCAGGAGGCTGGCTGCTAGGTGAGTGTTTCAGTTCATAAGCATAGGAAGACGTCGTCGCAGCTGAGCACGTCCCGTCTCTGACAGCAACCCTCCCATGCAGGTCAAACAGAAAGCGTCGAAGCCCGCAAGGCTGCAGAGGCCGTCACACCGCCAGCTAAGCACCTGACGACACTGGCAGAGGCAGTGGCAGTAGTAGTAGTAGTAGTAGTAGTAGTAGTAGTAGTAGTAGTAGTAGTAGTCGTAGTGGTCGTGGCAGTGGCAGTGGCAGTGGCAGTGTCAGTAATCGTAGTGGTAGTGGTCGTGGGAGGAGCGGCAGCAGCAGCAGTTGTAGTAGGGGTTGGTCGGAGGAGGTGGAGGAGGAGGAGGTGGCAGCAGCAGAGCAGCAGTAGCATTAGCAAAAGCAGCAGCAGCAGTCGTATTCATCTTGGTACTAGTCGTAGTCGTAGCAGTGAGTAGGGATGGGACTTGGTGGCCAGGGGCTGCAGCAAGATTCACCTGGACGGAGTATCTTTGTGCGGCTCTCAGCATCTTCATCGTTTCTCCTTCGATCGGCAAGAAATGCAACCGAACCAGCAAACACAGCCGCCTCATTTTGTTGATTGCGACGGATTCAAGCTTGACCTGCTGCTCTACAGAGTTCTTGTCCTCGTCCCAGCAGTGGTCGCAAGGGCGGTGGTAGTGATTGCGGTTGTGGTATGTTATGGTAGAGTTGTTTGTGCCGGTCCTGGCATTGCTGCTAATGTGGGTGGATGCAGGGTATCAGACGATTTACTTGCGGTGATCAAGCCACGGCACCAATTGACGACGCCGAGAGTGGGAGAAACAAATAAATGCGCCAGAGACGCTGGCAGCCCCGGTGGCGGCCGACAATGCGCAGGAGAGCAGGAGGCGGAGGAGAAGGAGGCGAAGCAGAGGAGGCGGAGTAGGAGGAGGATGAGGAGGAGGAGGAGGAGGAGCTGGACAAAATCGACTCGTTTCGACCCCGTTGCCGCTGATGGGAGATAGGTATGCTTATTGTTCTCCCAATAATGTTTCATGGTATCATAGCTTTTGGAAGCTTTTCATCGAGCCTGACGTTTGCTGAGAAGCTTCAATGCTACATATTTCCAGGCAGCAGCCGCTCAGGGTGGCTTCGGCGTAGAAACAGAGACTTGTCAGCAGCGGTTGCCTTTGCAGGACATGTCTCCATAGCTGTGGTAGCTATTGTCAGCTGTGGTTCTTCCGATGACGTGCTACAGTAAGCTGTGGGGTGCGACCAGGGGTCAACGAGATCCCACGTCGGTTTCGGATTCAGCCCCGCGCCAGAAAGTGGCGGAATCTGTTGTATCTTTCATCTTCGCTGAGGAGACTCACAGTGGTGGGCAGCTTGCTCCATACGGTGAGAACACCTTCGTAGAGGCGCGCAGCTATCCCAGCAGTGTCGATTCAGGCCCTTTACAAATTTCGAAGTACTCCCCGTTGAACGAATCCTAAAACCTAAACCCTAAACCGTTGATGTCTTGCTCGTGCTCTGCGGCGGACAGATGCTCACTGCCAGACGGGTCTCGCTTCTGCGTCCCATTCACACATCCTGCAGTCAAAAACCGTTCCCCTCCACCGATCACAGAATTGTCTTTCGGGTTCCTAGTAGGGATGATATAGGGACTACTATAGGGATCCACTCCCCCATTCCCTACTAAGCACCATGGAGTTGTACCTTGTTGGACGTTGAAGATTGCAGCTTCAGAAAGCCGGAGTACTGCTTATGTCACTTTGTGCAGGACTTCATCCTCCGGATTCTTCACTTCCCCTAGGCCCAAAGAACAGCATCCCGAACCCTGAATCCTAGGCCCCAAACCCTAAACGTTAAATCCTCTACCAACAGGGCAGAAGGAAAAGAGGTTCACAAAAAAGTCCTAAGCCCAAAACCGGTAGTCAAACCCTATATCCACAACCCAAAAGCCACGGATGATCTGCAAACAGGTCCCGCACCTGCCCACGCAGCTGCCAATGACCGAGCTCGAGGCCGAGGCGCCACCGGCTCGAGCGTTTTGAGCGAAAGCCGCTCTTACTTGACTGCTACGATTTTGTCATGCTCATATACCAGGCTGGTAAGTCTGCCCTATGACCAATAATACGGTATATCATCAGCCGTATGTTTGTATCAATACTGCTATCATTGGCTATCATTGCTGCTGATAGCATTCTCAGGTCTAACATTCATGATAATATCACAGCTACAAGCACAACAACCGGGAGGATGTCATGCTGCCACTTACTTATTCAAATCCAGCTCGCGACGTGATTTCCTGTCATATGTTGGAGAAGGTCATAGTGGTCACAGTCTTGTCCAACTACATGTTTCGCAGACTGTTCGCCTGTGCTGACTTAGTGCTGACACGGGTATTGTTGATGCAGCTGAATCGTGCCAGTCGATGTTGCAGACTGAACCACGGGCTGAGTCGAACCAACTTCATACCATCAGCAACGGCATCAATAGCGGTACTACTCTTGAGGCACTCTCAGTTCTCACCCCTTCCCAGCTGAGTTGGATCGTAACTATCGTGCTAAGCAGTCATGTTGTCCAGTATCATCAACATTCAACACCACCATCTTCCTCGTCATCATCAGTACGGTCATGTTAATACTCTTAGGGGACTGGTTACTACAAGCCCAAGCCCAAGAAGGGCTTCCCGCACTCTTCTGACCTCCGGAGGTGCAGCGCACGAGCCGAGTGGCAGCCTTCCTGGCACAGGTGGGGGCGACTGTGGAGTTTCGGCTTCGGGCACTGGGGGTATAGCTCAGGGCTTAGTGTAGGCGCGACATACACGTGGAGCGAATCAGATGGGGCCCCCTGTGCGGCAGATTTTTCTGCATTGCCACTCTGTGCTCAGCGAGCGACTCCAACCATCATTTTCTGTCGTGGCAGTGGTCTTGGTAGTGTTGGTGATGCTTCTGGTGAGACTGACGTATTTAAGCCTTTTAAGCATTGTGTTCACCTCGTTGTTTTCATTGGACACCATCGTGACCAGCATAGACGCGTGTTCCGAAGACGCTCTTGACGAAGCTTGTTCAGGAATGCTCTTTGACAACTTCCTGTTGCAGTAGCAACAAGACGAGTCGTCTACATGGCTGTATCGTCAGGTGAGGCGAAGCTGGTAAACTCCCTAGAAAATCTTCCAAAACCATGGTGGGCTTCTGTTTCAATCCCCGCCGAAGGATGCCGCCGTCCTGTCGAAGGAACTGCAGGGCAGCTTGCTCAGATAGACCTGATGCCTAATCCCTGTATATGTATACATGTACATATGACATGCATAATGTGTGTGTATATATATATATATATGTATCTAGCTGTGTATGTATGTATGTATGTATGTATGCTAGTCATATACAAGCATGCCTGCATACACGCATACATGTGCACACACAAACGCACATGCACACACACACACACACAGACACACACACACACGCATGCAAGTAGTCTATCCTCCATCTAGCTATCTCACCAATCTTTCTACCACATATAAATACAGATATACACACACATACATACATACATATATATATATATATATATATATATATACACATGCATATACATACACATATATACATATGTATACACATATATATATATATATACGTATACATATACATCTACATCTACGTCTACATACATACATACATACATACATATATATATATACATATGTATATATATATATATATATATATATGTATAGATGTATATATTGCGTATGCATATACATATACATCTACATCTAAATACATACGTACATACATACATGCATGCATACACACACACATATATATTTAATGGCTGCCGCCACTGCCGCCGACCCTTTTGCCCGGCAACGGAGTCCTGCATGAGTTCCAGTAACCCCTGCTGTTGCTGGTGCTGTTACTGATGACTAGTTTCTGAAAGCATTCCCTGTCATGTGGCGGCGACCTTGATTCGGCTGGGCCTCGGCCGGGAGGCTCAGTGGGCTAGCTTGCTCGGGGCGGAGGGGCTTGTTCAGGTTGTTTTGGGGGGATCCGGGCTCGCCTGGAGCGGCTTGCCCAGGATTTTGAGGGCTCGCCTGGATGGGCTTGCCCAGGGTTATTTTCGGGGCTCGCCTGGATGGGCTTGCTCAGGGCTCGCCTGGAGGGGCTTGTTCAGGATTTCGAGGGCTCGCCTGGATGGGCTTGCCTAGGGTAATTTTCGGGGCTCGCCTGGATGGGCTTGCTCAGGGTTTAGGGGGCTCGCCCGGATGGGCTTGCCCAGTTTTTTTTTGTTCAGATTTCTGATTCAGGTAAGATTAGGAAAAGCTCGTCCGTTAGGACGGGCTCAAACTCGTCCGTTAGGACGGGTTAAAAGTCGTCCGTTGGTTTGGAAAAGCTCGTCCGTTAGGACGGGCTCAAACTCGTCCGTTAGGACGGGTTAAAACTCGTCCGTTAGGACGGGTTCAAACTCGTCCGTTAGGACGGGTTAAACTCGTATTGTAGGACGCCGTTGGTGGGGTTTCTGTGGAGGGTTGTGTAAAGGGGTACCATTAGGATCGACGGTTCAGGGTAAGAGGTTGCTTTAAAGGGTTACCATTAGGATTCAGGGTTCAGGGTTTTATGGTCGACTGGAGGGAGCCGAGTCCACCAAAATGCGGAGCCGAGTAGTGCCGAGTAGTGCCGAGCGGCGCCGAGTGGGGCCGCGTGGTGCCGAGTGGGGCCGGGAAGGGGTCAGGCACGCATTGGGGTGCCTTTAAATTACTCTACTCATGCAGAAATACCACCAAAATCTACAGTTTGTGGAGCCGAGACCACCAAAATCTACAGTTTGTGGAGCCGAGTCCACCAAAAATGTACAGTTTGTGGAGCCGAGTGGTGCCGAGTGGGGCCGCGTGGTGCCGAGTGGGGCCGGGAAGGGTCAGGCAGACATTGGGGTGCCGTTAAATTACTTTACTAATGCAGAAATACCACCAAAATCTACAGTTTGTGGAGCCGAGATATACTTTACTAATGCAGAAATACCACCAAAATCTCAGTTTGTGGAGCCGAGTGGTGCCGAGTGGTGCCGAGTGGTGCCGAGTGGGGCCGCGTGGTGCCGAGTGGGGCCGGGAAGGGGTCAGGCAGACATTGGGGTGCCTTTAAATTACTCTACTAATGCAGAAATACCACCAAAATCTACAGTTTGTGGGGCCGGGAAGGGGTCAGGCAGGCATTGGGGTGCCTTTAAATTACTCTACTCATGCAGAAATACCACCAAAATCTACAGTTTGTGGAGCCGAGACTACCAAAATCTACAGTTTGTGGAGCCGAGTCCACCAAAAATGTACAGTTTGTGGAGCCAAGTGGTGCCGAGTGGGGCCGCGTGATGCCGAGTGGGGCCGGGAAGGGTCAGGCAGACATTGGGGTGCCGTTAAATTACTTTACTAATGCAGAAATACCACCAAAATCTACAGTTTGTGGAGCCGAGATATACTTTACTAATGCAGAAATACCACCAAAATCTACAGTTTGTGGAGCCGAGCCGAGTGGTGCCGAGTGGTGCCGAGTGGGGCCGCGTGGTGCCGAGTGGGGCCGGGAAGGGGTCAGGCAGGCATTGGGGTGCCTTTAAATTACTCTACTCATGCAGAAATACCACCAAAATCTACAGTTTGTGGAGCCGAGACCACCAAAATCTACAGTTTGTAGAGCCGAGTCCACCAAAAATGTACAGTTTGTGGAGCCGAGTGGTGCCGAGTGGGGCCGCGTGGTGCCGAGTGGGGCCAGGAAGGGTCAGGCAGACATTGGGGTGCCGTTAAATTACTTTACTAATGCAGAAATACCACCAAAATCTACAGTTTGTGGAGCCGAGATATACTTTACTAATGCAGAAATACCACCAAAATCTACAGTTTGTGGAGCCGAGTGGTGCCGAGTGGTGCCGAGTGGGGCCGAGTGGGGCCGCGTGGTGCCGAGTGGGGCCGGGAAGGGGTCAGGCAGACATTGGGGTGCCTTTAAATTACTCTACTCATGCAGAAATACCACCAAAATCTACAGTTTGTGGGGCCGAATCCACCAAAATCTACAGTTTGCGGAGCCGAGTAGTGCCGAGTAGTGCCGAGTGGTGCCGAGTGGGGCCGTGGTGCCGAGTGGGGCCGGGAAGGGGTCAGGCAGGCATTGGGGTGCCTTTAAATTACTCTACTCATGCAGAAATACCACCAAAATCTACAGTTTGTGGAGCCGAGACCACCAAAATCTACAGTTTGTGGAGCCGAGTCCACCAAAAATGTACAGTTTGTGGAGCCGAGTGGTGCCGAGTGGGGCCGCGTGGTGCCGAGTGGGGCCGGGAAGGGTCAGGCAGACATTGGGGTGCCGTTAAATTACTTTACTAATGCAGAAATACCACCAAAATCTACAGTTTGTGGAGCCGAGATATACTTTACTAATGCAGAAATACCACCAAAATCTACAGTTTGTGGAGCCGAGTGGTGCCGAGTGGTGCCGAGTGGTGCCGAGTGGGGCCGCGTGGTGCCGAGTGGGGCCGGGAAGGGGTCAGGCAGGCATTGGGGTGCCTTTAAATTACTCTACTCATGCAGAAATACCACCAAAGTCTACAGTTTGTGGAGCCGAGACCACCAAAATCTACAGTTTGTGGAGCCGAGTCCACCAAAAATGTACAGTTTGTGGAGCCGAGTGGTGCCGAGTGGGGCCGCGTGGTGCCGAGTGGGGCCGGGAAGGGTCAGGCAGACATTGGGGTGCCGTTAAATTACTTTACTAATGCAGAAATACCACCAAAATCTACAGTTTGTGGAGCCGAGATATACTTTACTAATGCAGAAATACCACCAAAATCTCAGTTTGTGGAGCCGAGTGGTGCCGAGTGGTGCCGAGTGGTGCCGAGTGGGGCCGCGTGGTGCCGAGTGGGGCCGGGAAGGGGTCAGGCAGACATTGGGGTGCCTTTAAATTACTCTACTCATGCAGAAATACCACCAAAATCTACAGTTTGTGGGGCCGAATCCACCAAAATCTACAGTTTGCGGAGCCGAGTAGTGCCGAGTAGTGCCGAGTGGTGCCGAGTGGGGCCGTGGTGCCGAGTGGGGCCGGGAAGGGGTCAGGCAGGCATTGGGGTGCCTTTAAATTACTCTACTCATGCAGAAATACCACCAAAATCTACAGTTTGTGGAGCCGAGTCCACCAAAATCTACAGTTTGCGGAGCCGAGTAGTGCCGAGTAGTGCCGAGCGGCGCCGAGTGGGGCCGGGAAGGGGTCAGGCACGCATTGGGGTGCCTTTAAATTACTCTACTCATGCAGAAATACCACCAAAATCTACAGTTTGTGGAGCCGAGACCACCAAAATCTACAGTTTGTAGAGCCGAGTCCACCAAAAATGTACAGTTTGTGGAGCCGAGTGGTGCCGAGTGGGGCCGCGTGGTGCCGAGTGGGGCCAGGAAGGGTCAGGCAGACATTGGGGTGCCGTTAAATTACTTTACTCATGCAGAAATACCACCAAAATCTAAATGCAGAAATACCACCAAAATCTACAGTTTGTGGAGCCGAGTGGTGCCGAGTGGTGCCGAGTGGTGCCGAGTGGGGCCGCGTGGTGCCGAGTGGGGCCGGGAAGGGGTCAGGCAGACATTGGGGTGCCTTTAAATTATTCTACTAATGCAGAACTACCACCAAAATCTACAGTTTGTGGGGCCGGGAAGGGGTCAGGCAGGCATTGGGGTGCCTTTAAATTACTCTACTCATGCAGAAATACCACCAAAATCTACAGTTTGTGGAGCCGAGACTACCAAAATCTACAGTTTGTGGAGCCGAGTCCACCAAAAATGTACAGTTTGTGGAGCCAAGTGGTGCCGAGTGGGGCCGCGTGGTGCCGAGTGGGGCCGGGAAGGGTCAGGCAGACATTGGGGTGCCGTTAAATTACTTTACTAATGCAGAAACACCACCAAAATCAACAGTTTGTGGACAACAGTTTGTGGAGCCGAGTAGTGCCGAGTAGTGCCGAGTGGTGCCGAGTGGGGCCGCGTGGTGCCGAGTGGGGCCGGGAAGGGGTCAGGCAGGCATTGGGGTGCCTTTAAATTACACTACTCATGCAGAAATACCACCAAAATCTACAGTTTGTGGAGCCGAGTCCACCAAAATCTACAGTTTGCGGAGCCGAGTAGTGCCGAGTAGTGCCGAGCGGCACCGAGTGGGGCCGCGTGGTGCCGAGTGGGGCCGGGAAGGGGTCAGGCACGCATTGGGGTGCCTTTAAATTACTCTACTCATGCAGAAATACCACCAAAATCTACAGTTTGTGGAGCCGAGACCACCAAAATCTACAGTTTGTGGAGCCGAGTCCACCAAAAATGTACAGTTTGTGGAGCCGAGTGGTGCCGAGTGGGGCCGCGTGGTGCCGAGTGGGGCCGGGAAGGGTCAGGCAGACATTGGGGTGCCGTTAAATTACTTTACTAATGCAGAAATACCACCAAAATCTACAGTTTGTGGAGCCGAGATATACTTTACTAATGCAGAAATACCACCAAAATCTACAGTTTGTGGAGCCGAGTGGTGCCGAGTGGTGCCGAGTGGTGCCGAGTGGGGCCGCGTGGTGCCGAGTGGGGCCGGGAAGGGGTCAGGCAGACATTGGGGTGCCTTTAATAAATTACTCTACTAATGCAGAAATACCACCAAAATCTACAGTTTGTGGGGCCGGGAAGGGGTCAGGCAGGCATTGGGGTGCCTTTAAATTACTCTACTCATGCAGAAATACCACCAAAATCTACAGTTTGTGGAGCCGAGACTACCAAAATCTACAGTTTGTGGAGCCGAGTCCACCAAAAATGTACAGTTTGTGGAGCCAAGTGGTGCCGAGTGGAGCCGCGTGGTGCCGAGTGGGGCCGGGAAGGGTCAGGCAGACATTGGGGTGCCGTTAAATTACTTTACTAATGCAGAAATACCACCAAAATCTACAGTTTGTGGAGCCGAGATATACTTTACTAATGCAGAAATACCACCAAAATCTACAGTTTGTGGAGCCGAGTGGTGCCGAGTGGTGCCGAGTGGTGCCGAGTGGGGCCGCGTGGTGCCGAGTGGGGCCGGGAAGGGGTCAGGCAGCATTGGGGTGCCTTTAAATTACTCTACTCATGCAGAAATACCACCAAAATCTACAGTTTGTGGAGCCGAGACCACCAAAATCTACAGTTTGTGGAGCCGAGTCCACCAAAAATGTACAGTTTGTGGAGCCGAGTGGTGCCGAGTGGGGCCGCGTGGTGCCGAGTGGGGCCGGGAAGGGTCAGGCAGACATTGGGGTGCCGTTAAATTACTTTACTAATGCAGAAATACCACCAAAATCTACAGTTTGTGGAGCCGAGATATACTTTACTAATGCAGAAATACCACCAAAATCTACAGTTTGTGGAGCCGAGTGGTGCCGAGTGGTGCCGAGTGGTGCCGAGTGGGGCCGCGTGGTGCCGAGTGGGGCCGGGAAGGGGTCAGGCAGACATTGGGGTGCCTTTAAATTACTCTACTCATGCAGAAATACCACCAAAATCTACAGTTTGTGGGGCCGGGAAGGGGTCAAGTAGGCATTGGGGTGCCTTTAAATTACTCTACTCATGCAGAAATACCACCAAAATCTACAGTTTGTGGAGCCGAGACCACCAAAATCTACAGTTTGTGGAACCGAGTCCACCAAAAATGTACAGTTTGTGGAGCCGAGTGGTGCCGAGTGGGGCCGCGTGGTGCCGAGTGGGGCCGGGAAGGGTCAGGCAGACATTGGGGTGCCGTTAAATTACTTTACTAATGCAGAAATACCACCAAAATCTACAGTTTGTGGAGCCGAGATATACTTTACTAATGCAGAAATACCACCAAAATCTACAGTTTGTAGAGCCGAGATATACTTTGCTAATGCAGAAATACCACCAAAATCTACAGTTTGTGGAGCCGAGTCCACCAAAATCTACAGTTTGTGGAGCCGAGTAGTGCCGAGTAGTACTAATGCAGAAATACAATCTACAGTTTGTGGAGCCGAGATATACTTTACTAAAGCAGAAATACCACCAAAATCTACAGTTTGTGGAGTTCAAGAAATACCACCAAAATCTACAGTTTGTGGAGCCGAGACCACCAAAATCTACAGTTTGTGGAACCGAGTCCACCAAAAATGTACAGTTTGTGGAGCCTGCAGAAATACCACCAAAATCTACAGTTTGTAGAGCCGAGATATACTTTACTAATGCAGAAATACCACCAAAATCTACAGTTTGTGGAGCCGAGTCCACCAAAATCTACAGTTTGTGGAGCCGAGTAGTGCCGAGTAGTACTAATGCAGAAATACCATCTACAGTTTGTGGAGCCGAGATATACTTTACTAAAGCAGAAATACCACCAAAATCTACAGTTTGTGGAGTTCAAGAAATACCACCAAAATCTACAGTTTGTGGAGCCGAGACCACCAAAATCTACAGTTTGTGGAACCGAGTCCACCAAAAATGTACAGTTTGTGGAGCCTGCAGAAATACCACCAAAATCTACAGTTTGTAGAGCCGAGATATACTTTACTAATGCAGAAATACCACCAAAATCTACAGTTTGTGGAGCCGAGTCCACCAAAATCTACAGTTTGTGGCGCCGAGTAGTGCCGAGTAGTGCCGAGTGGTGCCGAGTGGGGCCGCGTGGTGCCGAGTGGGGCCGGGAAGGGGTCAGGCAGGCATTGGGGTGCCTTTAAACTACTCTACTCATGCAGAAATACCACCAAAATCTACAGTTTGTAGAGCCGAGATATACTTTACTAATGCAGAAATACCATCAAAATCTACAGTTTGTGGAGCCGAGTCCACCAAAATCTACAGTTTGTGGAGCCGAGTAGTGCCGAGTAGTACTAATGCAGAAATACCATCTACAGTTTGTGGAGCCGAGATATACTTTACTAAAGCAGAAATACCACCAAAATCTACAGTTTGTGGAGTTCAAGAAATACCACCAAAATCTACAGTTTGTGGAGCCGAGACCACCAAAATCTACAGTTTGTGGAACCGAGTCCACCAAAAATGTACAGTTTGTGGAGCCTGCAGAAATACCACCAAAATCTACAGTTTGTAGAGCCGAGATATACTTTACTAATGCAGAAATACCACCAAAATCTACAGTTTGTGGAGCCGAGTCCACCAAAATCTACAGTTTGTGGCGCCGAGTAGTGCCGAGTGGTGCCGAGTGGGGCCGCGTGGTGCCGAGTGGGGCCGGGAAGGGGTCAGGCAGGCATTGGGGTGCTTTTAAACTACTCTACTCATGCAGAAATACCACCAAAATCTACAGTTTGTGGAGCCGAGTAGTGCCGAGTGGTGCCGAGTGGTGCCGAGTGGGGCCGCGTGGTGCCGAGTGGGACCGGGAAGGGGTCAGGCAGACATTGGGGTGCCTTTAAATTACTCTACTAATGCAGAAATACCACCAAAATCTACAGTTTGTGGAGCCGAGATATACTTTACTAATGCAGAAATACCACCAAAATCTACAGTTTCTGGAGCCGAAATACCACCAAAATCTACAGTTTGTGGAGCAGAGATATACTTTACTAATGCAGACATACCACCAAAATCTACAGTTTGTGGAGCCGAGTCCACCAAAATCTAAAGTTTGTGGAGCCGAGTAGTGCCGAGTAGTGCCGTGGTGGGGCCGGGAAGGGGTCAGGCAGGCATTGGGGTGCTTTTAAACTACTCTACTCATGCAGAAATACCACCAAAATCTACAGTTTGTGGAGCCGAGTAGTGCCGAGTGGTGCCGAGTGGTGCCGAGTGGGGCCGCGTGGTGCCGAGTGGGACCGGGAAGGGGTCAGGCAGACATTGGGGTGCCTTTAAATTACTCTACTAATGCAGAAATACCACCAAAATCTACAGTTTGTGGAGCCGAGATATACTTTACTAATGCAGAAATACCACCAAAATCTACAGTTTCTGGAGCCGAAATACCACCAAAATCTACAGTTTGTGGAGCAGAGATATACTTTACTAATGCAGACATACCACCAAAATCTACAGTTTGTGGAGCCGAGTCCACCAAAATCTACAGTTTGTGGAGCCGAGTAGTGCCGAGTAGTGCCGCGTGGTGCCGAGTGGGGCCGCGTGGTGCCGAGTGGGGCCGGGAAGGGGTCAGGCAGACATTGGGGTGCCTTTAAATTACTCTACTAATGCAGAAATACCACCAAAAGCTACAGTTTGTGGAGCCGAGTGGTACCGAAAAGGGCCGCGTGGTGCCGAGTGGGGCCGGGAAGTCGGGAAGGGGTCAGGCAAACATCCTGGGCCGGGAAGGGAGGTGCCGGGAAGTTTTTGCAGCAAGCTTGTACGGTGCTGGTCAGAGAAAGAGGACCTAGATTCCCGAGTAAGAGCGAGTCGACCAGATGCTGCAAGAATCCAAGAGCTTCTGAGCGCCGCCCCAGAAGGGTCGGCGGATATATATATATATATATATATATATATACACGTATACATATACATATACATCTACATGTACATACACACACGTATATATATATATATATATGTTTATAGAGATACACGTAAACGCACATATACATATCTATACACATACATATCTATACACATATATATATATACTCATACATACATACATACATACATACAGACATACATACGTACATATACACAGCTCCGGAATGAAAAGCGTCATACTCCATATGCACATGTGTATATACCATGTATATACACGGACTCGGGTATAACATGCAGACACAGAGATTCCGAATGTCTGCGCAGCTCATGCCCCAAGCATCAGCACGCATGATTGCTCTCGTCCTGTTCTTTCGTCTGCTCTGCGATGCATGTATCCGGTTCATCTACCTATCTTGCATCGCCGTTTCCGGTTCGCCGAAGGCCAAGATCCAAAGCGACCCACCGAGGTCTTCAGATCTCTCTGCGAGGGCATGCGAGGTTAGAGCCCGATCCTGCTGAGGCCGGAGAGCGGTACGCATCTCCCACAGATACCCCCCTTCAAGAATAGGAATATCAAAAGGAAGTTGTATGTGTCTGTGCATGTGTGCATATACACATACACCATACACATACACTCATCTCTCGTATAGAAGTATAGTTTAATTCTACTTACCTGCACAGGTGCACAGCCGCAAGGCCCTGTGACGAAATCCGAAAATCCGTCCTAAACCATTGACCTCTGGCTTTCTCCCATCACACCACCTCTAAACCCGAAAGCGCTAGACCTCCCCCAGTCTCCTTGGAGGCACCCGCGGTCTCCGCGCTGGCGCTGGGCTCGGAGGAGTTCCGAGCCGTCCCCGAGGCTCGGAGCAAGCGGTGTTTTTAGGATTTGAGTGTGGGAAAGAAGCAGAAACACAAGGTTGTATTGAGTGGATAGACAGGCAATGGAACCAAGTTGCAACGCGCCTCAGAGTCTTTTAGCACATCGAAGTCGGACGACGTGTGTTCGCCAAGAGCTGCTGACTGATTCTGATTGCCACGGGCAGGACACCAAGGGCAACAGCACTAAAGCGAAGGCTGCAGACACCAAAGCAGCTGCAGGACTTGACGTCTCGGGCTTCAGCCGGTTTCAGCACTCTCAGCTCCGTTCTTCCTGTAACCGTACAAAGACATGAGCATTCATCGAGTCTTCGTTCGCAACATCCAGCATGATTTTGGACTCCAAAGCTGGCAAGTGTTGCCGGTTCAAGGTGTGTGTGGGGAGTTCAGCGCATGACGACAGGGAAGACTGCAACAACTTTTTTTCTTATCTCTCGGGTTGTGATTTGGAGGCCAGGATGGCCAGATGCTGTTTCAAGCAAGACCATCATAGAGGTCCACAGGCAGCTCAAGCATATCGGCCACGAATCAGTATAGAAGCACATACGAGACGAGGGTGCAGACGTCCTCAGCATAGACTGCAGAATCCAAAGGGCCATGTCAGACGCATGCATCTTCGGCCCCATCGGCAACTTTGTTGCGGATCCTTCGTCACTTCTGCTTCGACAGGAGACGAGGGGTGCGACGGTGCCGGGCAGGTCCCGTGAGCGCCTCAAACCATCGGGTTATCGGCTGAGGAGACAGGGGCGGGCTCATTACATGGGTCAGTGAAGCGGAATACCACAAAAGCTTCAACCCCAATACCCCGAAACCACCTGCTGCTTGCAAAGTTAGGTATCGCAACCCTGACAGCAGCATTCAATACAGGTTCGCAGTTCAAAAATAAGAAGGAGAGGACACGTTAGATAAGACTCGAGGACTCGTTGCAGAATGACGACACGTCAGGCAATAGCTGTATGAATCATGAGACAAGCTACCACTGCCTGAACACAGACGTGTACATCGAGTACAAACCAAGCGATGATTCAAAGCACTGGTGCTGCCTCGAGTATTTCTGAGCCTCCCAGGTGTTCCCCGCTGAACCGCCTCATCACCTTCGACTATCGCTATCCCATCGCCTGGGGATTGCTGAACTGGGCCCGGAGCTCGAATCAAGTCTTCTGCCGTCGTGTACGTCGTGGTTGCAGTTGTTTTTATCGCCATGGTTGCCATTACTGTACGTCTTGTTTGATGGTTGTGCCCAGGGCCATCACGGCGGTCTTACTTTCCTATGGATGGCTTTTGTGCTAGTTGTACCGTGACAATGACAAGCGGCCATGTGAATTTCAGCACCATCATGCTGGTTGGCTAGGATGGTGATTATTGTCGTCCTGTCTGCTGTACTACTTGTCTTAATAATGGCTGCATGCTTTTCAAAGTGTTCCACGAAGTACTACTAGGAGTACCATTGCATTCGTACTATTATGATTAGCCATCATTGCTATCCTTGTCATCGTTTCTACTGCCATGGCTGGCGCTGTTTGCTTTTCGGAGTGTTGCTGTGATTGTTTCTATGTTTGCGGTTTGTTGCGATCCTCGCAAGTATTGCCGTCGTGATTAGTTTCGTCGCCCACCCACACCGCCACTGCCATCGCCACCGCCCCCCCACAGCGCCACTATCACCATCACCATCGCGAACATCGTCATCATCATCACCATCACCAGCACTAGCACCAGCTCTCCTCAGCATTACTCGTATTTCCCGTAGTACTACTACTAGTACTAGTAGTACCACTAGTAGTATTAGTAGTACCACTTGTAGTATTACTAGTATTAGTAGTACCACTTGTGGTACTGCTAGTATTGCTAGTACTACCAGCACTACTAGTGCTTCCAGTACTGCTAGTACTGCTAGTACCGCTAGTACTTAGTGCTGCTAGTACTACTAGTACTATTAGTACGAGCCCCACCGCCGCCGCCGCCGCCACCACCACCACCACCACCACCACCACCACCACCACAACCACCACCACCACCACCACCACCACCACCACCACCACCACCACCACCACCACCACCACCACCACCACCACCACCACCACCACCACCACCACCACCACCACCACCACCACCACCACCACCACCACCACTTTCAGTACTTCTGCCACTTCTGCTACTTCACCTTTACTTGTACTACCTACTCCTACTCCCACTCCCACTCCTACCCCTACTCCTACTCCTACTCCTACTCCTACTCCTACTCCTACTCCTACTCCTACTCCTACTACTACTACTACTACTACTACTACTACTACTACTACTCCTACTCCTACTCCTACTCCTACTCCTACTACTACTACTACTACTACTCCGACTCCTACTCCTGCTGCTACTACTACTACTACTACTACTACTACTACTGCTACTGCTACTGCTACTGCTACTACTACTACTACTACTACTACTACTACTACTACTACTACTACTACGACGAGTACTCCTACGACTACCACTACCACTACGACTACGACTACGACTACGACGACGACTACTACAACTCCTCTCCTCTCGAGAGTCCGTGTCTTAGAGCTCAGGTGCTGGTCTTTGTCTTGGCTTTCTTGACAGCCTGGTGCTTCTGCCTCCGACTCAGAGTGCTGCCGTTCGGTCCGGATTTCTCTGTGCGGCCCTTACAGCGTTGCACGCGGTGTTTAGTGTGGTTCGGGCTTGGGCTGCCTGCTGCATTCTACTGAAACTGTATCGTCGTGAAGGAAGCAGGGTTCAGCGTCCTTCTTTGCTGCTGAGGCGCCTGCTGTTGCCGACCTAGGCGTACCGGGTGATCGCAAAGCTTTTGCTGGCTTGCCCAATTCACTATGTGATCTGGGCACGTGTTTATCCGAAACCCGTATGTAGCAGGTGCAGAATCATTGCACCAGCATCAAGCAAAGCTTGTCTTCCGGTTTCGCCGTGGTTCACAGATAGTGTAGTTAGACGCATCAGTAGACTGCACTTGGCAGGCTGCAAAGAGAAGCCTTGCAAGGCACCAACCGCTAGGGCAAAAGGACGTCATCCATCCGACCTCTAACCGACATTGCAGTTATTGCAGGACGGTCTGGTATAGAGGCTCCTTGTAGCTGAGTTCGCCTATGACTCATAAGCCACCGGGTTCCGGGTCAGAGACCATGATGCTGCAACGTCTTGGCCTGCAGAGCTGTGTGGCTCAAAGGCCTGGGTTTATTGTCAGGCGCGTACGAAGCTCCATGGTGCTGCACCTGTATAGGGAGTCCGTTCATCGCCTTAGCCGTCTAAGCTGGAGCCACTTGCAAGTGCGTAGGTTCGACAAGGACTTTGATCTGAATGCCAGCTAGATCCGGTTCGTAATCCCACAGACCACAGTGGAGCTTCCTATAGAACAAACCGACGGTCAGAATGCCCCAGTCGCCGGAAGATGCTCAGTGGGCCCCTCATAAGAGGGTGCTAAGGGGTGGGTCTGGATCCAATGGGCCGATGTAATTGGCGCAGGGCATGAAGGAGGGCGGCAAGGCCTGGCACATGACGGTCAACTCACACGGTTTAGGGTTATCATGTTCGTACCTTACGAAGCCCTGAAGTAGCGATCCACTTCTATTACTATCCGGCGCATTGAAACTTTGTGGGTCCTCGGCAAGGCCGTCAGTTCCAGCCCATCTACCGCTTCCTCCAACGCGAGGCCTTTCCAACAGCTTCGAACCTCAACTCATTGCTTAACCGAGGATCAGAGGACTTATGGTAAGTAGAACTTAATCGGGGGTGCAGGTTGAGGTTCTGGGGGAGAGGACTTGTTTCAGCCGCGCCAGGGTCTACAATGATGATTGGCTGCCATGCTGTAATGAGACTCCTTTACACACAGTTGTAGGCAAAGGTTAGCATCCCGGACATCCCCGGACAAGTTGCACACCAAGATTCAGACAGCAGCTGTGCAGCGCATTGATATTCCAAGAGCTTTCTACGTAACGTCGTGTGCTGCCATCCTGAGAGAACGAGGCTCGCAGCTATCACTTGGTGTTAGTGTGGGTGTGTTTCGAGCGCCGTCCTTGCGGCCCAAACCAACTCGTGGCAGTCCCACAGGCCCGACAAGCTACGTTCGCCACCCGAACCGGTGCGACGAGACGCGTGATCGGATGTGACGACATCCATGTTGGCAGGAGAGATAAGAGTCTCCCGAGCAACCATGACTGGAGACTGATCGGCTGCACTGTCGGACTCCTGCCGCGGCGAAAGTGTTGGCATCTTAGGCCGGCCAGGCCCAAGATACTTCGACGGCCAGAGTCCATCTGCGTAGGCGTGAGTCAGTCTGCAGACATGTGACCATGTGGCACCGCCAATGTGAAGGCAGCACACGGCATCCACCAAGTGGCTGCGGTCCACATATAAGGTTCAGTGAGTTACAGCTTCAACTCCTTCTCGTGGCCAGGTTTTTATTTGTATGCCGGATGGCATGCCAGCACGCAGTGTCCGCAACCTGCATCGGCACTGCTTGCTTAGGGGCTTTGCTGGACGAGCCGCACTTCCAGCAGCAGAAGTTCGTGCAGTCAAGGTCGAGTTTTGCTACCATTGAGGCACGACTGGTGGCCATGCCAGTCGGACGGCCCTTGTGAGGAAAAGGGGTTGTGACAGGTGCAGCTGGAGCTCAGCTCGGATATCATGCTGACCCGGAATCACGAATCACTCAACTCGCGCTGCAGGTCTCCAGCCGCAGGCATCACCCGGGGCAGGGAGCAGGGCTGCAAGTCAGATCCGACCAGGAGCATGGTTCTTGCCAATATCCGTCACCCTAACTAGCGCAACGCAGCACTGCAAGTCTCAAGGCAGATGCGAGGATTGGTTTCCATCGTCCCTTCCCCTCCCCCTCTGAGACCCTGCCAGGGAAGACGTCCGAGGGCACGCACAAGGTGGGATGCGTTGTCTCCTGAACAGAGCTGTATAAGTGGTGCTTCAAAGTCTATGGCTTAGGCCCCGAGGTTCATCCGCACATAAAGGATGCGGTGAAGT